ACCACAGAGGTCCCGAACCTGAAATAGATCGTCACAGTGCTCCCGGACCTGAGAATAAATCACCACAGAGGTCCCGAACCTAAAATAGATCGTCATAGTGCTTCCGGACCTGAGAATAAATCACCGCAGTGAAACAGGTGTCACCGGGCCCATACCGTACCTGAAGCACGTCAGACACCGTAGGACGTAGCCACTCCGTAACATCCCTCGTACCCGCACCGAACCAAACATCATAGTGACCCAAGGTAGCACCTGTCCATGCGTCTCCCGCTCTCAGGACATCCCAACTGCGGTAGTGTTAGTAATCAAGCAAACCAGTGAAAGTGACGCAGGGAACCTCGACCATCGGCAGTATTGAAAACTGTTAAAATCCGGGGAAAATGTTCAATCCGGGGTCAGGGCTGATGGCGGGTAATCGAGGCAAAATTAGGCCAATCTCCGAATAATCATGGGTTTCCGTCCCTTTAATCGTTTTTCATCATTCTTCCCTTTCCTTAATTCTATTGTCGGAAATAGTGAATCAACTGTAAGTTCCCTAAAATTATATTCCGAGAAAGTTTAAATAAATGGCCGAATTCCTTCTGTTTCTTTTTTCTTTTACCATTTTTAATCTCTTTCTATGTTTTTAATTTCTTTGTCGGGAACATAAAATAACAAGAGTATTCCCCCTAGAATTAAATGCTGTGAAAAATAAAGAAATTAAGGGATATTATGTTTTTTCCCTTCTCCCCTACCGGTCTTAATCCTTTACCCCCTCTTTAATTTTGGTACTAAAATAAACAAAAATTTGAGGCCTCTTTTCGGCCCCGGTCGTATTGTTGCAAAAACGTTGTAGCGAGGTCAGTTCCGCGATGCCTCTTCGCGACAGGCCAATCCGGGTCTAACCTTCTGGACGGCTGGAAATGGCGGTCTCTAGATATGCCGCGTGCGCCAACCCATCTCACTATCTTTGAGGGTTAGTCGTAAGCCCGTGTGCCCAAAATCAGGGGTGCCCTGAGTTCCCCTAATTTTTGCTGCCTGGTCATACCAGAGTACCGTCAAAACACGGACTTGTTCCTGAGCCTAAGTCCCAAAACCGCAGATTTCAGGCGGCGCACTGCTTGTGGCCGCCTSACAGTTAGCCCGGACCACTTCTCGACGCCCCCGTCGAGCCCTATCCACTTACGTCAAATGAAGCGGACGAGCTTCAGGGTGATTGCCCGTAAAGGACGCCCACGTCGACGTTTAATTGTCTTATGTTTCAGTTCGTTATGATTTCTGGGACTAAGAAGTCACTTCTTGACTCCCCTTTTTCTTCGGAAATTTGGCTTGGAAAGGATTCTCCCTCTCTTCTGGGGTCGGCCTGTGATAGGTGCCGGTTTGTCAGCTTGTCTAATACGAACTCTCCGTCTGGCTCTCCCGAGCACGAATAACCACTTCTTCCTCTTTCCCATCGCCAACCCTTTGACCTTTCTTTTCTCC